CGAGACCTACCAAGAACCCCAACTGTCAAGTTTCAGCTAATTTGGTTAGAAATTGTGGCAAAACCTTCAAAATACCGAACATCTATGTGGGGGCAACACTTAAACTTGGGCCAATATAGGATCATTATCAATTTCAAGCAACCTGTATATAGAACAAGTTCGGCCGAGCCGAACTTTTAATACCCTCCACCATATGGAACGAATTTGACAATTTCAAAAAAAAAAAAAGAAAATTCTGTTAAAATCTTCAAAATACCGAATGTAGCCGTATCTTATATATTCAAATGCGAAACTTGAAAAACAAAATTCGGTGAATAATGTCGCTAAAATCATGAAAATACCGAATATAGGGAGGTAACGTTATATATGGGTTACGAAGACATGGACATGCATAGACAATTTTCTGTCTTAGGCTGTAGTATCCATTAAGAACTTCAAATACCAAACTTGAAACAATTCCGGTGAATAATGTCGCTAAAATCATTAAAATATCGAATATCGGGAGGTACCGTTATATGAGGGCTATACGAAGAAGTGCACCTTCACAGACAATTTTGTGTCATAAGCTGTAATATCCATTACGAGCTTCAAATACCAAATTTGAAAAATTTGAATCACCTAAATACCGAAAATAGGGCGGTACCGTTATATGGGGGCCATACCAAAACGTGGAGCATTTTCAATACCAAAAGTTCTGCAGACATAATATACATTTGGTTAAAATTGTATCAACCTATTTTATTTAGTTCGGAAGCTAGAGTGATTTCCACAGACGGACGGACATCGCAAAATCGACATAGAATTTTAAGCATATCAAGAATATTTACTTTGTAGAGTCTAAAATTTATATTTCGAGGTGTTACAAATGGAATGAAGAAGTTCATATACCCTCCATTGTATGGTGGAGAGTATAAAAAAATTAAACTAAACTTTATGACTCTAGCATTCTCTTAAATTCATTAAATATCTACTTAATAGCATCAAAAGTCTCTTCGAAATTCTTAAAAGTCCAAAAATGGTTCTTTTTGTTTTCCTTATCCCCTTTTTGTTATATTTGTTCCCTTTTGCTTTTCCCAGATGAAGATTTTCGAAATCAACAAATTTTTAATCAATTATCATTGAAAGAATCAAGACCACATTCCACTAAATGGCCCAGTTTTTCCACTCCACTCTTCAAGCACACCCAGCTTTCCCTTTCCTCAAATTAGAGAGTGGGAGAAAGAAAAACTCATTTCTTTTGCACGTTTTCTTGCATACCAATTCTCAAAAGAAAATTATATTAGATTATTTTTGCTGCATCAGCAGAAAAATAAAGTCATGACTGCATTATCGAGGGGGTGAGGGAGAGAACGAAAACGAAACACTGTTACCAAAAGCGGAAAAGTATATAAAATTATTTAATTTGCCATAAAAAATGGAGAAAATGATGAGCCAAAAGAAAAATAAAGAGTAGAAGACATGAAACTCTGCCATCATAAATACTTTTTGTTGAAGCGGGATTTTTAGCGCCATTCCGCCAACACTTGGCTAAGTTCTGATTGGATGCGAAGTGTTGACCATCAAGTCAACACAATTTAAGACGGGCAAACAGTTTAAGCACGATGAGGGGGTGTCATATAACACCGAACGAAAAAGAAGCAACTATGTGGTGCAGTTTTTATAACTTTTTTTCAGTATTTTGCAAGTTTAACGTTTTTTCTCTTTTTTTTTTTTTTTTTTTGCTTCTCCATTTCTTATGCCACGTACTACACCTTTAAGTGTTGGGTAATGAAAGTTATCACGGTGTTGGTGAGTTAGTTTTTCTTGAAGAAAATCACGTCCGAAGAAAATTGTTTTGTTTGCCACGTTTTCGAAAAGCTTTAGTTTGTATTTTTATTATCCTTGCTTGCTTGCTTGTTATCCCCCAACGACCCTCTGGCCATTTTGTGGAGAAAGAAAAATGGGAAAAAAGAAAGAAGGGTATTGCAATTCTAAGTAATCGAAATTCTTATTAAATGCTCGTTAGAAAGTTAAATCAACTTTGTCATAATATCGGCAATAAACAAAACAAATATATCCCTTTCTGGAATAGAAAAATCGAATGGGAAAATAAAGTTGCTCGATTTCTTCCACAAATGTGTGTGTGAATATGCAATTGTATTGGCATTTCAATTATCTGCATTTTAATGAACTTTTATGCGGCTTAATTAAAACATTAATCATCTGACAAGAATGTAGCACAGATTTTCATAAATATTTCACACTTTCGTACCCTTCAATTCGCACTCCAATTCAATTTATATTTAATCCCTTTCAATGAATTCCAACTAATGCTTCAATTCTGCTGTTAATTTTAGAATTGAAATTTTAATTAACGCTAATTAATCTGCAGTTGATTGGTACTTTTGAAATTACTATGAAGTCGACTGTAATCGACAGTTGAAACCACACGAAGGTGAAAGTGGATATCTGCTATGCAATAAATGTTAAATTTTTACACCAAGCTTGGAGTAAGAAAATCCCCACTCTGTATCAACGGTGCGTATACGTGATGTCATAAAGTATACGCACCCATGCATATGTAAATGGATATATTGTTTGATTTTATGGAAGGCGTTGATGTGTAAAAATATGATATTACAGAGTCAAATAATTGAGAGCAGATAAATTTACCTAGAATTGGGAACGTAAGTGGGTTACAATTTTAAACCCGAATTTTTTGTTTAATTAAAAAAAAAAAAAAATTATATGTAGTCATTTCAGACGCATAATTACGGTTTTTATGTTAACATGCCTCTACTGTAAAAAGTGCCTCCACAAACTCCACTACAAAAATTCTTAAATATTTAAAACTATGGCTCATATAGTCTTTCGCAAAATTCTTTTAATAAACAAAGATGACTAAAAAACATTCCTTGGAAATCCATAAATATATGTGCGATAGTCCTTCAAAATATTAAAAAAAAAAAAAAATAATCTATAATATTCCTAAAAAATTTTTAGATCCTTAAATTTATGATATTGCCCCAATTTCCTATAAATCAAAAATTCACAGTAATGGCTATAAAATCTCCTTGAACCTTCCTTTTTAAAATCCTCGACAAAGGCCATAATTTCATTACAAAAATCCAGACTGTGTATGTAAGCCATCCTTTCAAGATAGTCCTTCTTCTTTTAATCTACGATTCAGATTCTGATAATATTACCAAAAAATAATCATACAATGAAGAGTATATTAAATTTGTCTTTCCGTTAACAAGTCCTCCAAAATTTCGTCGGAAACTCCATAAAAGTACATACAGGGTGAGACGAAAAAACTGTCAACAACTTCAGATTGCTGCCACTCGTCCTACAGCTGTTAAAATTATTCGAGTGAGAGCTCATTATTGTTGTTTACAAGCTTACAAAAGCATTTTGGTGAGAATTTTCCAAAAAAAAGTTATTTGTGATGGAATTTAAGGGTGATAGTGTGATTTCTTTATATTTGGCTGGAAAACCACAAGTGGCTATCGTTAGAGGACTCCAGCATTTAAATGTGAATAAATCTTTTGTGTCTTGTACCACCACTCGTTACCGTGATATTGGTAGCGTAACCCAACGTCAAAGAAGTAGACGGAATAAAACAGCAACATCAGCAGCAATGGTTCGAAAAGTAGCGAAGCGACTTGATTGAAATCCACGTCGCAGTGGCCGAAAAATGGCTCGTGAGCTGAACATATCGCAATACTTCATTTGGCAAATATTGAAAAATTAGCTCGTGGTAAAGCCATTGCAATTTCAAAATCATCAAGAACTTACACCGCAACAGAAAGAAAATAAACTCAAAAGAGCTAAAGAGTTGCTTCGTTTGGCCGAAAATGGGGAACCGCCGAATTTGGTTTTCTCCGATGAGAAAACATTTGTTGTCCAGCAGTTTGTCAAGAAACAAACTGATCGTGTTTACTTGCCAAAGAGGTCAGCTGAAAATGTGCACCTTCGGTTGGCCACCAGAACTCAAGCGTCGGCCATGGTGATGGTGAGGGCCGGCAAAACAGCCGATGGTCGCTCTCCGCCCGTATTAATCAACCGTGACATCTGAATAAATGCCGAAAATTATCTGGAGGGTGTATTAAACCCTCGGGCACGCAAACATTTTGGCCGCAGACCTTAGGTATTCCAACAGGACTCAGCACCATCGCACTCAGCACGCGCTACCCAAGAATGGTTACAATATTAGGTTTCTCGCTTCTTTTCTAGCCCACAATGGCACCAAAATATCCGGATACCAATCCGTTGGACTATTGTGTCTAGATGTTTTGGAAAGCAAGGTTGGCACTAAAAAATACCAAAGTGTCGATCGTCGGGAATGGTCCAAAATACCGCAGAGCAAAATTCGGGCAGCATGTGACGGTTTCATTGGCCGTTTGAAGGCCATAATTCGTGCCAAAAGTGACCAATTCGAAGAAATCTAAACTTATTCTAAAATTTTATGCTATATCCGGCATTTTTTGATTTTATTTTATTAGGCTTTGATATTCCTTCAAATTATGCTTTTGAAAACGTAAAGAAAATTATAGTTTGAAAAAAACTTGAATTATCCTTCCATTTGCTTCCGCTAGTATTTTCTATCAAATCAGAGGGGCATAGTTTAAATTGGAATGTATTTTGGAAATATCAGATTTCAAGAATCTTTGAAAGAATATTTTCTAGTTAGTCCTCGTTTCCATATAAAGAGTTGGCATATAACGTATTACGGAAGTACGATTCTACAAAACCACATTGGTATTTATCATTTTTATCAAAATCAAATACATTGCATAGTTCCATAAACAACAAATATTTCACTAAAACTCTACATAATAATATACTCCATATAATATACAAAACTTCTTTATTAACTTAAATCCACAAACCATTTGTTTACCATTCAAAATTAAAGTCTTAAACCAAGTGCACACACACACACAGATACACAGACCTGATAAAAATGCAAATATACTCACATTTCTAATGGTTTTGTTTTACCTTCTTCATTCTTTCAGTTTATTATAACCCAGCCACAATGATGTTCCACAACTATAACAATGAAATGAATTTAATTATCAGCAACAACAACAACTACTACTCAGCCACTCTACAGGAAGAGGTAAGCAATACTAATAATAATAATGGGAAAAAACCACATAAAAGCAGCAGATGCGTAGAAGTTAAAATAGAAGAAAAAGCTCTGCTTCTCTTTTAAAACAATCACAAATGAGGGAAAGAAGGAAGCTATGGTACAATAATAACAACAAGAAAAGGGTACAACTGACAATGTGGTTGTTGAGCACATAACAATATCCGATCTAAGGTTGTTGTAGCATCGTTTTTCATTAGAATATGTTTTACTTCCTTAAAGAAGGACTATTACAATAGAGTAGGTAGGATTAACACAATCTGAGTAATTGCTGTCGGAAAGCCAAATACACATTTTGAGAACTAAAAGGTTTTCTATTAAAAAAGAAAGTTTTTGTTTATAATAACTAGAACAACATGGCTTTTTAAGTATCTTCCCTATTCGATTAGAAAGACATGAAGAATGAGAAAAGTTCGAAAGGCATCATTTAACTGCAAACTTAGAGAGAAATTCTATATTCCAAACATACGCATTTGCTTATTTTGACCCGTATGGTAATCCATTCCTTGCCAAAATGCAAGGTTTTCACTGTTAGAACCTCCGAAACAAATTGTTTACTGGCAATCCGATTAAAATTGCAACCCGTAGCCTTATTACAAGGAAGGACGCACAAAGGTTGACCGACTCAACTCATGGTGATATCTTGTCGCCAATACAAAGTCTACTGTAAGACTATTACCACATAGATCTTATCGCAGACATTGGCAAAATTGATTTGACGTAAGGGGGGTGGGCTCAGTAGGGTAACACTCTCCACCGTTTATGACGAACTTGGAAAATGTAAAAAGAAAATTCATTAAAAACTACCGCTATAATTTTTAAGATTCCAAATATCAGGTGTTACACTTATATAGGACCATATTAAAAAGTGGATCTCTATGATCAATTATCTGCCATGGGTGGCAGTTTGAGATGATTTTGTTAACAAATTTAGCTAAAATCATCAAAATATCGAATGTCAGTTATATTGGGCCTATACGAAAGCGTGGACCTCTACAGCCAATTATTTGCCAGAGTAGGTGGTGCCTATTACGAACCTCAAATACATAGTTTGAAAATATCCTCTTGAAAATGTAGCTAATATCATCAAAATACCGAATGTGGGGAGGTACCGTTATAAGGAGGCGTGGATCTGTACAGGAAACTTTTTTCATAGAAGGTAAATATCGAATGTCAGTTATATCGGGCCTATTCGAAAGCGTGGATCTCTACAGCCAATTTTTTTGCCAGAGAAGGTGGTGCCTCATATACCAAGTTTGAAAATATCCTCTTGAAAATGTAGCCAATATCATCAAAATACCGAATGTGGGGAGGTACCGTTATAAGGTGGCGTGGATCTGTACAGGAAACTTTTTTCAAATTTTAAATAAATCCAAAGAAAACTGTGACACAAATCATCAGAATACTGAATATCCTGTGATACAGTGATATGGGGTTAGGACATATATTTTCCGTTCTCGGCAAAGATCTTTTCTACATATTGGGAAGACATATTCCCAATTTACAGCAAAAAACCTCAAATCTGTCGGTACAGTTATATGGGGACTATATCGAAACGTGAGCCTATATAGCTCATTTTCTACGCAAAAATCCTCAAGACTTAAACACACATCTGAGTAAAATTTTATCAGCCTTTTTCATTTCGTTCAGAAATTAGAGTGATTTCCACAGAAGTCCATCTGTCTGCTTGGGAAGCACATCACTAAATCGACATAGAATTTTTGGTCTGAAATATATATTTCGAGGTTTTACAAGCGGAATAAAAATCATACCCTCCCTTCTATGGTGGAGGGTATAAATAAATCATTTATGTAGGCCCTCTACCTCAACAAAGCCGACCTCCTAATATCCTTGGCCATTTGGAAAGTGAGTCTTTGAAAATAAATCTATAAGATCCAGAATTCGAGCGGAATATATTGAAATTCCAAACTCAAAAAAGTCCTTTAGGAAATTAGAGAGGTACCCTTGTATGTGGGCTATAAGAATGTATAGACCAATATACACAATTTTCTTCGAAAAGGGATGGACATTTTTAACAAAACCCGCATCATGCCACTTATCAGCTAAACTACTTTATTCGTCAAAAATCGTCATTGTCGACTTTTGTGTACATTTCCTATCTATTTCTCATCCATCTGACGTTTTGCCAACTAGCCGTCCCCAACAGCTGGCAGCGAATATCGGTAAGCCTGAAAACAGAAAGTTTATCGCTTCCCAGAACTGCTCCACATTTAGGAGTAGCTACTCTTTTCAAAAACTGTGATGTGCTTGAAACCCTTGTTCAACTGATTTTAGAATCAAGAAACTCAATGTGAAGGTCATCAGTTACTGCAGAATCATAAATGTGACAACATTGGAACAGGGTCCGCCATATAACGTTTTTTAAATGCTATAAAAACGGACTACCGATTATTTTCTCAAAACTTGTTTCTTTTTTGAGAAATTTTTTCAACTGACTGCCCCGGCAGGCCATACAGTAGTAGCCTATACCACTAGTCCAATTTTTAAGAACTTTATCGATTGTGAACATCAGTTTATCACTAATGGCTTCACGTATATCGTCTCTTAAAGCACCACTTTTCTCTGTTTTGTCGGGTTAACACTTATCTTTGACGGGGCCTCACAAATAATAGTTCAACGGTATCAAATCGTTGCTCCTAGGTGGCCAACCTACATCAGCTCTGCAACACATAATACGAATTTTTTATCAACAGAGCGCAAAGCTCGAGTGTAGTTTCGGCTGTGTGGCACTTAGCACCGTCCTGTTAGAAACAAATATTGTCGATATCCTACTCTTCAATTTTAGTGATCAAAAAATCGTTCAATATGAACCGATAACGCAACAGCCACTCCTTGACCAATATCAACTATGTCTTTGGACTAAAATACGCACCGAACATTGTATCGGCTTTTCAATGTAAGCGTACAACAAGGTGGTCATGGCAAAAGAAAACGAGATAGAATTTTTGATAACCTGCATAGAATCCCTTTCTGAGCATGTCAGTCCGTCTGTCTGTTCGTCCAGGTATTTTTGTGAACAAAATGCAGGTCGCATTTATTATCCGATTGAGATGAAATTTTCCACTAAATATTTGTTTGATCGAAGAACGAACCCTATTGAAGTTGGTGAAAATCGGTTTAAACTTATATATAGCTATAGCTATATATATATATATATATATATATATATATATATATATATATATATATATATATATATATATATATATATATATATATATGTATATATATATATATATATATATATATATATATATATATATATATATATATATATATATATATATATATATATATATATATATACATATATACATATGTATATATAAATTTTACAGAGATCGGATCGGATTTTGATATAGCACCTAAAAAGTGTAATATCAACTCAAATAGGATGGAATGTAATGAATATCGATTCAGACACAAATTCCTCCGCAAATTTAGTAAAAATCGATTCAAAGGCGGATATTCCTCTCATATGTTAGTTCCTTTGGACTTTAAATTATATCTATAATCATGATATAATTCAATTACACTTAAGATGCAGAATTTCGAGTTGGTATTGAAATACAGTAAATATTAGAGATTTTTTAACCAATCGTTACTTTTTAGCCAATTAGTTCGGTTTAAGAGATAGTATTGTTGGCGCACCAAGCAAACTAAAGCCTATGTCCATATAATATATGCATTTATTTTTAGCAGACAAATGTTTGCTGGATTATAAAATTGCTTAAACATAGGTCGCAGCACTCCAGCAGGAACATTTATTTTCCTTGAATCCCCTTGTACATGTGGCACAAGTGTGGATGATATGTTTCGCAAACTATTACCATCCGGCCGCAAAACAATGACTCGAACAAACTACAAGAAAATACACAAATCACTTACCTGTCTAGGCATGACTTTCGGAAGAAAAAATAGAAACAACAACAACATTTGAACAGGATAAGAAATGAAAATGGCATGGAGGGAAGGATATGCCATGGAAATGAAAAGAAAGGAAAACTATGACGATAATAACAGTTTCAATGCGGCTACGATGGTAATTAATACTGAAATTTGAAAAAAAAAGTAGAAATTGCAGGCAGATAATTGCATAAAGTCTAAAGTCTGAAGGATGTTTTCCAGCATATAGACAGCTGAATGTGATATGAAAAGGGTTTTCCTTTCCTTTGATTTCATGCTAAATTTTAAGCTTTAATTTTGTGGTGTTTTCACTGCAGAATAGTTAGGCTGGTAGTTTTCCAACTCAGCTTAAAGGGGCAATAATCAAACTTCTTGCAATTCCTCTTTCTTTCCTCTTTTGTTGCTATCGTTCTTCTTCCTTTGTTCTTCCATTCAAATGACTTTTGTTCATTAATTTCAAAACAAAAATATATACTTCATCTTTTGTGTTTGTTCACAATTCCTATTCTTTTGTTTTAACATCCATCCTTGGTTTCTATGATTCATTGCATATGTTTCCCTTTCCCTACGAGTTATTGCGGCAAGTTGTTTCCCACAACAAAAGTTTCTTTTCCACATTTCATTTTGCGTGATTTGTTTTTTCTATTACTCTTTTTTATTTTTTGTTTCTGTAGTCTGTTCCTCGTTTTGCCAAAGAAGATTGTAATAAGACTATGAAAGATTACATTGCTGGTTTTTATTACACTTGATTAATGGTTGTTCAATGCAGTCAAGCGTTGAGGATAGGATAGAATGGGATATAAGGAAACGGATGTTCTCGGAAGTCATAAATATTTTGTGAATTATTTTGTAGCGGAATTTTGTCTTTCCCATAAACAGATAATTTGTAAATGCCATGTCATTGTGGCAAACCTGCATATAGTCATAATATCTCCTCAAATTAACCAAAATAGTTTAATGGTTTTGGACTTTTGCAATGAAATAAAATCATTAATCATTTTGCTAGACTTCCAATATAATAATTATCATCAATTAAATAAAGTAAAACAAAACAAAACAGATATGGTCAAATATTTAGTACTAATGAAGGTCATCATTGCCAAATACCATTTGAGTTAATAGAGGATGGGATAACTGAGAGGTCTATCTTGTAATTAACAGGAAAGTAATTTCTCGGCATTCTTCCATATATGATCAGAAGGTCATATTTTAGCAAATGGCCAGAAGGTCATACTCTCACAAAAGGCCAGGAGGTCATACTCTCATCTTCCATAGATGACCTGGAGGGGTCATCTTGCATAGATGACCTGGAGGGGTCATCTTGCATAAATGACCTGGTGGGGTCATCTTGCATAGATGATCTGGTGGGGTCATCTTGCATAGATGACCTGGAGGAGGTCATCTTGCATAGATGACCTGGAGGAGGTCATCTTGCAGCTGGAGGAGGTCATCTTGCATAGATGACCTGGAAGAGGTCATCTTGCATAGATGACCTGGAGGAGGTCATCTTGCATAGATGACCTGGAGGAGGTCATCTTGCATAGATGACCTGGAAGAGGTCATCTTCCATAGATGACCTGGAGGAGGTCATCTTCCATAAATGACCTGGAGGAGGTCATCTTCCATAAATGACCTGGAGGAGGTAATCTTCCATAGATGACCTGGAGGAGGTCATCTTCTTTAGATGATCTGGAGAAGGTCATTTTGCATAGATAACCTGGAGAAGGTCATCTTGCATAGATAACCTGGAGAAGGTCATCTTCTATAGATGACCTGAAGGTCATCTTCCATAGATGACCTGAAGGTCATCTTCCATAGATGACCTGAAGGTCATCTTCCATAGATGACCTGAAGGTCATCTTCCATAGACGACCTGGAGGTCATCTTCCATAGACGACCTGGAGGTCATCTTCTATAGATGACCTGGAAGTCATCTTCCATAGATGACCAGAAGGTCATCTTCCACAGATGACCTGGAGGAGGTCATCTTCCATATATAACCTGGATGTGACCTGGAGGCCATTCCATAGATGTGACCTGGAGGTCATCATCCATAGATGTGACCTGGAGGTCATCTTCCATAGATGACCTGGAGGTCATCTTCCATAGATGACCTGGAGGTCATCTTCCATAGATGACCGGGAGGTCATCTTCTCACAGATAACCAGAAGGTCATTTTCTCACAGAAAATTTCATTTTCTGGAAGATGACCACAAGATCATCTTCGTTAGATGACCGGGAAGTCATTTTCTATAGATTACCAGAAGGTCGGCCAAGCGAAGCAACTCTTTAGCTCTTTTGGGTCTATTTTCCATCTGTTGCGATGTAAGTTCTTGCACTTTTTGGAATTTCAATGGCTTTACCCCGAGTTTATTTTTCAATATTTGCCGAATTGAAAATTGCGATATGTTCAGCTCACGAGCCATTTTTCGGGCACTGCGACGAGTGCTCTAACGATAGCCACTTGTGTTTTTCCAGCCAAATATAAAGAAGTCACACTGTCACGCTTAAATTCCATCATGAATAAATTTTTTTCTGGAAAATTCTCATCAAAATGCTTTTGTACGCTTGTAAACAATATAATGAGCTGTGACTGGAATAATTTTAACAGCTGTCGGAAATGACAGCGGTCTGAAGTTGGTTGCAGTTTTTTCATCTCACCCTGATTGATTGCCATATTTAAAAGCTTTGCACAGTTTCATCAAAATAATTCTAGAACATAAAATCCAATATTTGAATTAAAAATGAAAGCACATACTTCAAAATTGTCGACACATTTCTTTTTCCCAAAGTATAACTACCCAATAAACACAAATTTATTTATACGAAAATTAAAAGTACATATAACTATACACATATGTACATAGTTATGCACACATGTGCAGTATGTGTATTTTGCATGTGTACTCATTTTTATACAAATTTCTATCCTTCTTTGCTTAGAAAGCATTGAATTCTATGAAATATTGAATGGAGAACATTTAAAGAGAGAGAGAGAGATGGGATCTCATAAAAAATCCCCACCCAAGCAATGACTTGCAAATTCATTTAAGAAAAAAAAAAAACATTTTCCATTAGCATTGCTGGAAATTCATTGAAAGTATATGTAAAGAATCTTTTTAGATTTTTCTAACAATTATTAGATCGAAGAGATTGGGCAAAATGTGCATGCAATGCACATGACATTTTGATTTTTTTGCTATGGTATTGATTTTGTATTCAAAAGAGATTTTCTTGTAATTGAATAATTTCAAATGCAGTCAATGTCAAGGCAATTGGTGAAGACTCTAGACGGGCTGATAAAGAAAACATTTTCATTATATTTAATATTGTCATAATAATTTGATATTTGGAAAACCCGAAGACGAACGTAACCATATTGTCCCTAGTGGTTTCTATTGAAATAACATTTATTATTTGCAATTTTATTCTTCTGAATGAGTGAGATAAACATTCATAAAGTGGGTTGACTCAAATATTTCCCTTTGATGAACATGACTTTTATGCTCGCAGTTTAGAAGCCATGTCAATTTTAACAACTTAAATTATCATTTCTCCTGAATTTCGAAAAAAATTCTTCCTCAGTTTCAGCTCTTTCCTAGAACAGAAAACAATTTTAGGGTTTTATTTGCCGTCACTCTTCACTACTCTTTATTTGGAAACACCCACAACTAATGTTCCAGAATTTCCAATTAATATTGAACATTTATGGCTTCCCTGCGACAAGGATCAAAAGCACAAATAGAAGTTAAAATGTCCTTTGCAAGTTGTTGTTTTTTTTTTCACTGGAAATTGTTTAAGCTTCTTAAAATTAATTATTTACGGATACTCACAGTATACGAAATAATATTTATTAACAACAATATTATCACAAGAGACATATTTCATGGGAATTTTCAAAATTACCAGCATCCCTTTGACATTTTCGGTCATTCAATGTTGTAATTATTTTCGCAGAGGACAGATAGGATTATGGGTATTTTATGAAATTTAAGTGTTGTTAAATTTTAATGAAGGTATTGTTTGTCGAATGCTTTTAAATAATTTTTAAATTAAGTCCTATGGTATCAAATAATTTAATCGGAATTTCTACGAAATTTGGGATGATTGGAAAATATGCTCATCGTTATAAGAGATGTGAATGGAAGGGATGGTGAGAAATGAAAGGACAACAAAGGCGCCATAATTATTTTGCATCAGAGGTAGCAGAAAGTAATTTCGGGTTCAGTTTGTCAAGTTGTCAACAGGAATATTACGTACCAAAACCACCCACCATAACGGAATAATAAGAAGCTTAAAGTCTGTCTATGTTGTATGACATTCATGTAGTTTCACTGTGCATAGTTACGTGAATTTGGAAGCAGCGATGGGCCAATCTGTAAAATTCCCTGTTAGATTTATAGCATAGTTATACCCTACACCACATAATGGTAAGGTTATTATACCTCTGTGCATTTGTTCGCAACAGGGAGAAGGAAGCGAGATAGACCCATAGTTACTTTTAAGGATCTTCATAGAATCACTTTCTGAGTCGATTTATGCATGTCAGTCGGACGGACAGACGTCCGACCGTCCATATATTTGTTCGAATTTATTATCTGATTGAGATGAAAATGACTTGAATTTTAGCACATCCAACCGATTTCAATCAAGAAGCAAGTACATCAAATTAAGTGAAAATCGGTTCAGATATAGCTATAGATCCCATACATATATTTCATCCGATTTGGGGTTTAAAATCCCTCACAAGCGTAACATGCATACCACAAAAATTATCTGTGGTACCAGATATCAAATACAGCTCTGAAATAAGTGTATCAAATTTTGTCAATATCGGTTCAGATTTGGATATAGCTCCCATATATATCTTCAACCGATTTCGGGTTAATTGTGCAGCAAATGCGCAATAACTCTTCAAAAAGTCCTGAATTTTGGTACATCCGACCGAATTCAGTGTAGAAGCAAGTAAATCAAATTTGGAGAAAATCGGTTCAGATATAGCTATAGCTTCCATATATATGTTTCATCCGATTTGGTTTTAAGTCCCTTACACGTAATATGCAATCGAGAAAAATTATATTTAGTACCGGTCATCAGATACAGCTCAAAAATACCTCTGTCAAATTTTATCAATATCGGTCGGAAATAGCATGAAATTTTAGAATAACTTTAGATTTGTTCGAATTGGTCACGAATTATGGCTTTCAAACGGCCAATAGAACCGTCACATACTGCCCGAATGTTGCTCTGCGGTATTTTCGCCCATTCCCGGCAAAGCGCTTGCTTGAGTTGATCGACATATTGGTATTGCTTTCCAAAATACTCCAGGCACAATAGTCCAACGGATTAGTATCCGAAGATTTTGGTGGCCATTGTGCGCTGGAAATGAAGTGAGGAACCTCGTTTTGTAACCATCCTTGGGTGGCGCGTGCTGAGTGCACCCTCCAAAATACTTCCGCAATAATATTCGGTATTTATTTTGATGCTACAGTCGATTAATACGAGCGGAGAGCGACCATCGGCTGTTATGGTGGTCAAGCAAAGGTGCACATTTTCAGCTGATCTCTTTGGCAAGTATACACGATCATTTTGTTTGTTTACAAACTGCTGGACAACCAATGTTTTCTAATCGGAAAACCAAATTCGGCAGTTCACCACTTTCGGCCAAGCGAAGCAACTCTTTAGCTCTTTTGAATCTATTTTTTTCTGTTGCTGTGTAAGTTCTTGCACTTTTTGGAATTTCAATGAA